TTTTTCTAATAGTGTATATATCCATTCGCAAAATTTAGCTAGCTAAATGTGTTTAGAATTTAATATAGAATATTATGGTATATTTCAAATTTTAAGATTCCAAACCCCTTTAGCTGACACCCAGAGTTAGGTAGCAATGCGTGCCTTAAATAAACGTTTTGTTTTCAAAGTTACTAACCATTAGTTTCTATAAGTTTAGGCTTTAAATTTGAAAAAAAATTAATGATTATTAATAATATTATAAAAATATTATTTGAAGCAAGTTTTTACTATTAACGAGAAACTGGTTAAATAACCTTGGCCAATCAGGTAATCATTTTTTAAAATTTTATTTTGTATTGCATATAAAGCTTGCTTATTATATTTAGTTGTGTATTTATAAAATAATTTATCTAAAACTTTTATCAACTAAAATTATCAATTTATGTTATAATTATTTTAAAATATATGTAATTCGTTTAATTTAAATTAATTTTACTAATATAGATTATACTAGCAACTAATGAGTACCATATACTGTACAGTATTTATTAATAAATATTTTTTCAGAAATAATACTTACAATGACTTCAATGAATGACTCAATTCTTGAAATCCACAAAAATATCATTAAATCGCCAGAAGATAAACGTGAATACAAAGGACTGGTACTCAGGAATGGCCTAAAAGTCATATTAATCAGTGATGTGGAGGCAGACAAATCCGCGGCCTCCCTGTCCCTCAATGTGGGCTCGATGTCGGACCCATGGGAGGTGCAAGGGTTGGCCCACTTATTAGAGCGCATGTTATTCCTAGGCTCTCGTAAATACCCTGGTGATAATGATTACCACAAATACATCTCAAGTAATGGCGGCTCGGTAATACATACCCGGACAACCTCCACATACACGGCATATTTGTTTGATATAGCCACTGACTATCTACCCGGTGCTCTGGACAGGTATGTAACCTAACTTAATGTAAATTTTGAGTTTTGATTGTTAAATAAAATTTTCAAATGTATGGTCAGATTCGCGCAGTTCTTCATTGAGCCGCTGTTCACAGAGAGTGCGATGGAAAGGGAGATAAACGCCATTAACTCGGAGTATGAGTCCTACATAACTAACGGACATTATAGAGAGGATTCAGTGGACAGGTGTTTATCTGACCCGGATCATGATTACAGCAAATTTCAAATGGGTTTTATAGATAAATATGTAAAAGTATTTTGTTTGTAAATCTGTTATTTATTTTTTAATGCAGCAAATAATGAGTCGTTGAAAGAGATTCCTTACGCCAAAGGCATTGATGTCCGCCAGGAGTTGCTGTCGTTTCACGAGCGCTGGTATTCAGCAAATATCATGTCTTTAGTCGTTTTGGGCAAAGGTTTGACTCATAAGTGTTGACCACTTAATACATACTAATAGTTATTATTGTTATGAATACACAGAATGTATACAAGAATTGCAANGTTTTGGGCAAAGGTTTGACTCATAAGTGTTGACCACTTAATACATACTAATAGTTATTATTGTTATGAATACACAGAATGTATACAAGAATTGCAAGAATTAGTGATTCCTATGTTCTCCGGAATCCGGAATAACAGTGCAATCGCTCCCAAATGGACTACTAATCCATTTTCAGACCCATACCTACGAAAACAGTGCTTTATTGTACCGATTGATGACAAACAGAGTATGAAAATAATGTTTTCCATCCCTGATATGTCCGCACACTACAGGTATTACTGAAATTGTAATTATTTTAAAAATTTGATTACTAATCAATATATTATATTTATAGGTCTAAACCGAAATGGTATCTAGATAACTTGATCGGTCACGAGGGGCCGGGTAGTTTACTATCGGAGCTGAAATCCCGCAACTGGTGCACCCAATTAAGTACAGGTTGTTGTTGCGGCCAAACCCCTGGGTTTGCATTCTTTTGCATTAATGTGGACCTAACTGAACAGGGTATGGACCACACGGATGATATCATTGCACTGGTCTTTCAATACATTAATTTACTCAAAGTATGTATGAGTTTATTGTATTCAAGAATATACAGAATATTTTGATCTATTAATGAATTGATTGCATATTTTTCAGAGAGAGAGAGTCCAAACGAGTCGTTTCATAACGAGTTGAGACAAACCCATGAAATTGATTTCAGATTCTATGAGATGTGGAGTAATATGTATTTTACAGTCCGGTTGGCAACAAGTCTTCACGTAATGAATTGATTTTAGCTATTATTTTAAGATTATTTATACAGTACTTGTATTATTTTATTTTCGTGTTAAAGGATTATCCGATTGACGAGTGTATGAGTGCTAAGTATACGATGGATGAGTTCAGACCCGATTTGATCACTGATTTACTCAATCACTTGACTCCGGATCGCATGCGAGTGACAGTTGTGTCCAAACAGTTCACCACAATTGCAGACCAGACAGAGAAGTGGTTCTCAACAAAGTATACACAACAAGATATTCCTCCAGAGAAGATCCAGAAGTGGCTAAACATTGGATTCAATGACAACTTAGCACTTCCACCGAAGAATGACTTCATTCCCTATGACTTTACTCTTAAGCCAACCGATGATAACGTGAAACAAATGCCACAAATGATTAGAAACACAGAGTTTTCTCGTGTTTGGCATTTGCAGGACAATCAATATCGCACTCCAAAGGCTTTCTATAAATTCAAACTAACCAAGTACTGTATTTTTATTATCAATTTTTATTGCCTGTTCATATTTTAAATCTGATAATTTCTTGTGATTTATAGCCCGGCCCTAAATGACAGCCCTTTTGGTAAAAATGCCATAAAATTATTTACCAATATATTCTGGGATTATATCACTGAGTGTTCATATTTGGCACAAATGGCAGGACTTTTCTATCATATAGTCGCGGACTTTCCCACAGACACTGGTCTTGAAGTAAATAAATATGAAAATAATTTTTATGCCTTTCATTCATTAAAACGTTTATATTTTCATTCAATTATTAGCTAACATTTGGCGGATATAACGACAAACTAAACTCATTGATGACCACTGTTTTGGATAAATTAATTGCTTTCAAAATAGACCCCAAAAAGTTTGAAGTGTTTAAAGAGATATACATTCGTGAACTCAAGAATTACCATGCTAATTGGCAAATCACATTGCTTATGAAATATACCGACGCTATTACTACTGACAGCTTCTGGACCTATGAAGATCTTCTTGAGACAGTAGATGATCTGACTGTGGATAATGTATCAGCACTGGTATCCCAACTACTGTCCCGTTTCCATATCGAGGCCTTCATTCACGGAAACATCGACTCGAGTGAAGCCATAGATGTTTGCGATGTGTTTGAGTCGCGATTCAAGTCAGCCCTCAATACCAAACCCATACCACTGTCGCAACACTTCCGCAATCGTGTCGTCCAATTGCACACGGAAACATCGACTCGAGTGAAGCCATAGATGTTTGCGATGTGTTTGAGTCGCGATTCAAGTCAGCCCTCAATACCAAACCCATACCTCTATCGCAACACTTCCGCAATCGTGTCGTCCAATTGCCCGACGGATCCGACCATTACTTTGAGGCCACGAATACCTTTCATAAGACACATGCGATTCGTCTCTACTTTCAGATCGGAGTCTCGGATACCATAATAAACGCAAAGATTAGACTTTTAAGACAAATACTGAAACAGCCGTTTTTTGACAATTTAATGACTAAACAGCAGTTGGGGTCCCTTAGGGTCGACACCTCAACCAGTAATGGAGTAGTGGGTCAGAAGTCTAAATATTTGATTAATTAGACATTTATTAAATTGATGTATTTTATTTTTATAATAGGCATGACTTTCACCATTGAATCCGATTATAAACCCAAAGAACTGAATGAGAGAATCGAGGCTTTCATACAATGGGTTCATAAATACATTGAAGACATGAGTGATAAGGACTTTGAGACACAGAGACAGTCAGTCATTACACGAAGACTCGAGAAACCGAAGAATCTGATCGACAACTCGTATAGACTTTGGTCTGAGATATCGTCCAAAGAGTATGACTTCAATAGGGATGAGATTGAAGTGAAAGCCATCAAAGAGTTGACAAAACAGGATATCATTGCCTTCTTTGAGGTCATTATTATTACTTTTAATTGTATTTTAATTATGAATTAAATTATTAATGAATTGATGTGTAAAACAGAGACATCTCTCCCACTCACAAAGAGTTGACAAAACAGGATATCATTGCCTTCTTTGAGGTCATTATTATTACTTTTAATTTTATTTTAATTATGAATTAAATTATTAATGAATTGATGTGTAAAACAGAGACATCTCTCCCACTCGTCAACCAATCGTAAGAAACTGACGGTCAGTATAATCAGTGAAAACCCAATCAATGAAAAGCATTTGAATGAAGTGAATGCGGATCTAATGCCGGCCCCAAAACTATCGGTGAGTTTGTGGTCACTGACTAACCATTACTTAAATCTAATCCAATTTTGTGATTCATTTCAGGAATCAATAAGAATTGAAAACATAACACAATTTAAGACACATTTGGGTCTCTATTCTGTACGCAAACCAGTAGTCGATGTCTACGCTAATAACACCACAAGTCATACACTGATCACACAATCGCACCAATAATTCACATTAAACTAGTTTTTACAACATATCCCATACCTGTCTTACAAATTATATTCAATACTACAGTAATGTTCACTAAATAATTCAATAATACTAGTTGTCATAAATTAAAGCAAGCAGTCTTATGCCCTGATACTTTATTGCGTGAAATACTGTATCACTAAATTGATTATCGCGTGAATCAATACTTTTCAAGACTTACCCATAAATCTGTAAGAAATTTCCGATTTTTATGCATAGAAATTAGACATGCATGCACTAAAACTAAAATTGTGACCAGGGTAGACATTTTCTGAGTATATTATGAATCGCACATAAAATATTAATAAATTTCCAATATTTTGGTATAGTTTTTGTTAATATAATATAATTGTAAATATTTTTAATTTGAATATAAAATAGTCCTAATAGGCTGGGCCACCCGTTATTCGTCATTACACAAAGTTACTCACAAAACATACACTATTTCTGATTGCAAACTAATTTAATAGAATTGTATTGTATTGAATGATACGAAACATAATCACCAGAAATATAATGAAGATAATGGATGTGTATAGAAATTTACAGACAAAGAGTTGGAGGTAATGGTGTGATCTTGAGGGCGACGCTCACGACACCAACACTCAATCCTTTGTTGAGGTCTTTGGCTCGAAATCTCAATCAACTGATCGATGGACTCATTACTCATTACATCAGAAAATAATGTAATGTTTGTCGGTTTTGTCAGATGCTGTCCGATCGCTGGTATGGAGTCCCGGCGAATACACGCTATGAGAACCACTTTCTTTAACTTCGGACATAAACCCAAGAGTTTGATCTGACGGGCGGTCACTGTTGTCGGCGACGGATCCATACGAGACAAGCCGAGCCTAAAGTCAGTCAAACACTTCATATGAGACACACCGACGAAGAATTGGTGGAACTGGTCGTCAGTGAACCCGTCATTCGTGCCGCGAAACAACCAAATGTCCAGCCGTTCAATAGCCGGGAAGTGTTGGGCGATGAGTGGCATACCTGTGATGTCGAACCACCGGACACGGAATTCGCGTAATCTATGGTACCGTCTGAGTGTCATGTCTTGTATGACATCCCGTGTGAACAGATAGCCATTCGTATGGATCACTCGTATACCGGGATTCAAGTGTCGAAATACTGTCCGGTCGTATACGGGAGGGTCGGGTCTATGGATCCAACTGATGTCCCGAAGTATAAGCACTTCCAGTTTTGGCAGATTCTCGAGCAGTATATCGATGGCCGGCTGTCTTAAGTTTACAGTCCACTGAAACTGTAGGACCCGGATGTTTGGGTGCGAAGTACTTAGGATTTGGGCCTCAGTTTCGCTGATATACACATTACAATACGCCCGTATGGACAGGCACTGGAGGTCCCGGTACGCACAGCTTTGGACAACACTCGCCATGATATTCCTATCGATGTTAGACTCGTTGAGACGGACGTATAGGCGCTTTAAATCGGGAAACTTGGCCACAATTTTAGTCAGAATTGTCTGAAATGTCTGTCCATTGGCTGTGTTTGACCTGAATTGTCTCAAACATACCTCATATTTGTTGGGATAACTACTGTATCCGTAGGGCTGAGCGTCCAAGTCCTCAGAGTCCCCGTCTTTGACCAAAAGAGTGGTGATGTTTGCTCACCACTGGTCGGACACATCCCTCCATCGCTGGCATACAGTCTTCACCCTAAGGACTGACCGGTCATCCAATTTGGCCATATATTGAGGCCAACATCTCATCGTAAGTCGTCCACCACTTTGGGAACCATTGCTATATCACTGGCGCTGTCCTACGAGTTGGCGATTCATACGGTTTCGCAAAACATTATTATTTAAATTTATAAAATAATTTAATTTTAATTCAAAAAATAAAATTTCTAAAAGTGATAATTTAATTAATTTCGCCAAAATCGTGTTTACTCGTTTAATTAAAATTAATAATACTTAGAATTGAGCTAGATTAAAACAATTGATCATACGAGTTAAGTTTAACATTAAGTTCATAAATGAAGTATTTGTGTTATAATTATTTTGGTTATAAACTGCTCCTGCAATCATATACAATACTAGTAATTTAATATTTTGACCAAGGCATTATTACTGTATTTACTGTATTAAGAATTTTTAAAAGTTAATTCAATTTTAAGATAAATATTTTAAAATTAGTTTAAGTTTTCAATACTTTACTGTTAAAAGCAAAACAAAAAAGTTTTTCAATACGTTTTGCCCGTTATTTATGCCGACAATAGCATTGCTATGACAACCACTCAATGATAAGACATGTGTTGAGAAAATGTTGTAAACATTGACTCCAATTGTGAACACAATTACAACTAAACTGTGGTTTTAATTAGTAATCAAATTAATTGTAATATACTATAAACGCTAATAACATGTCGGCGCTCGTGTGGGCGCACCTAAAACAGTGCCAAAAGCCAGTCCTCAACCACACCATCGTATCACCAGTTGTGCCACAAATGACATTCAATTTAAGACTTATAGCCAATGATTACCGCAAGTGTTACCACAGTTTACGCCAATTATCACCGCAAATGATGCCACGCGAGCACCAGTGGGTCGGACACCTCAGCGCCAGTCTATGGTCGAGACTACTGGTGCCGTCAGGACAGCACAGGCCGTACCATCAACTGGTCCGACACCTAAACACCGGTTTATCGCCACAACTACTGGCCGCTCGCCAGCACCGACACCATCACCAGCAATGGGTGCGACACCTGAACGGCAGTCAAGTACGTCGACTGACATCCCGGAGCCGTAACAAAGACGTGATGATATACGCGACGGCATTCGTGTTGGCGGTGTTGGGCGGCACCTACGCAGCCGTTCCCCTCTACCGGATCTACTGTCAGAGCACAGGGAAGGGCGGGAAAGCCTTCGTCGACGAGAAGAAGAACCGCAAGATTATGGATATGACGGCCAAAGAGGAGCGACTGATTCGCGTCACCTTCTCGGCCGAGACGACGAGTCAGATGGCCTGGAATTTTAGGCCAACCCAACCGGAGATCCGGTGCTTTCCCGGCGAGACTGTACTCGCCTTCTTCACGGCCCGGAACCCGTTGGACCGACCGGTGGACGGCATCGCCACCTATAGTGTGCAGCCGTACGAAGCGGGCACTTATCTCAACAAAATCCAGTGCTTCTGCTTCGAGGAGCAGCGGCTGAACCCCCACGAAGTAACCGTTGGACAGTCGTGTGGTCGACAAAACTGAGAGACAACCAGAAAATTAGTGTTAATTAACAGATAATAATGAGTGAGAAAACTATTTTAATCAGCGATTGAAAAGTAGCGAAATGTATGGCATATACCATAACAACACTTGAAATAACGATAATTACAGCGATATATTGAGTCAACGCTTATCTAATCTACGAAATTAAGCGCTAAACCAATGAGAAACTGAATTTCCCGACAAATAATAATAATAAAAACTTTTGCTTAATTAATACACATTACGATACAGTGTACTACAGGTTATCGTAAAGGGTTTTTAATAGCTTATTAAAATGTGTTCATTAATTGTATTAGGGAGTTTTGTAATGAGTCAAAATATAAATACCCTTTTTGGACAGTTATGTAAGGGAAATACACCCTAATATATACGGACGATTGATATGACAGTGAGTGAGCACAGTTATCAGAGATACACCTCCACCACACCAGCACCGGTACACGTTTAATAGACCTGTCGTATACAGTAATATAATATAAAATTTATTGTATTATAATTACATTACGTGTATTGATTGCAATTGCAGTACAAGCAAACACTAGTCACTCAAACACTGTGTCTATTGAATTGACAATTAAAACAATTTTGTAATTACAGTAGAAATTACAGTCTGAGAGTAATAAATAGATGAGTTTATGAAATATTTATTCAGTTGAGTGAACAGTTTTTTCATGTAATAATAAAACACAATTCAATACCAGAAATAAGTTGATAAAAGTTTTTTGGGTTGTTATTGGACTGAGAGTTAAATGATTGCCAAATAATGTGAAAGTTTTTTACATTCACAATTCAATTACCATATGAAGTATCCAAAAACATATTGCAATGAGTTTTATATAAACTATTTTATGAGCACACAAGTTTGTCTAAATTAAAATTAAACCCGATACTAGTATATTATTTTACTCAATGTATGGTATTAATTTTCAATGCTATACTGAGTCATACAATACGTTGAGACTAAATAAAATAAAATATTGAATTATAATAAAAATGTTTTTAACTTATTTTTCCCAAACAATTGTTTTGTTTGTCATTAAATGTCAATTACAATTGAATTTCCATATATATTGCATACGTGTATGAATGTTGTCAAGTAATAGTCTCTCTCTCTCTCTCTCTCTCTCTCTCTCTCTCTCGCATATAAAATAAAAAGGATAAAAAATAAATTGATTTTTAACACACAATAAACCCTGCATATAGTTAACATGCACATATTTTAACGTTTTGTAAAATGCACACATTTAATCTAGTTAAAAAATATAATTTATTTTAAAACAAACATTTTCTATAGCGATATAAAATTTTATAAAAGTTATATTTTGTTTTACACTACAGTATTTAATTTGAGCTATTTGTGAACTTAAATGTAATTTAAAATTATAATGTCAGCATGCAATTGAATTGATATTTTTACACAAAAAAAATATTTTTCAGAATTTTAAAAAATAATTTTTAGTTGCAATGTATAATAGTTAGGATTCAATTGTATGTCAAATTGCTATTTAAAAGCACAATTCATACGAGTATAATGAGTGCTGAAAGTATTGATTGTACAGTAAATAATTGAATAAATAATTTTTTCTATAATATATTGAATACAAAAAAACATTTAATGTTTTATATGAGAAAACCTCATTATTAAAGGAAATGATTTAAGAGAATAACACATATTTGTGTCATTCATATTATTATTCATAATCAATATATCGTAAAAGAAAATGAATTGTCAAATACTGTACTATTTATTGAATTGTTTTTTACGTTACGGTATAATATATACATTATAAAATGATTTATAAATCATAGCAACAGTATTAATGCAAATCTAAAATAGATAAAACATTTTATAAGTTTTAAATATATATTTATTGGAAGTCTTCAAATTAAAACCACAAAAAAAGTCAAAACAAACAATTCATTTAAACAAATAAAAACTCGTTATAACTTCTGCACCGCTTGTGTGGGACCGGGAGGGGTCGGCAGCAATGGTGGTGTCGGTGCCGAGGGTGTAGGCGCTGCGGGCGACGACATAAACGACGGTAATGTCAACCCTTTCTTAGCCTCGAAGAAGGTATAGGAGAGTACGATATCGTCGACGTTCTCGAGGCGGGGGTCGTCCGCGTACTCGGGATCGATGTAGAAGAACACCGGGAGGTCGACCACTTCGTGGGGGTTCAGCCGCTGCTCCTCGAAGCAGAAGCACTGGATTTTGTTGAGATAAGTGCCCGCTTCGTACGGCTGCACACTATAGGTGGCGATGCCGTCCACCGGTCGGTCCAACGGGTTCCGGG